GTCTTTTGTGCCAATGGATTTCTGCTTTGCCATTGGTTGGTTTCAGTTGCTTGGAAGCTTTCAGTTAGGAATGGCCTGAGGGGGAAAGTGCTCTGTAAGGCCAGGTCAGACAGTGGTTAGAAACCCCGACATTGGTGGGGACACAGTGCCAGCTGGACCCAGGCAGCATCCTGTGCTACTCCCATCTCAAGTGGCTACTATGTCGGTGAGCCCCCAATATTGCAATTTGACAAGGTCCTTGGGCACTTTCTATTGCTAGAGGTGGTCTCCCACTGCAGCCACTATGATGTACAGTGCCCACAGGGAGAGGGCTGAGCTCCCCGAATCTACAAGGGAAGCCAACACCCTTGGGAGGTCATCCTAGGGGGCTCTCTGGAACGTAGATGACTTGAGAAGAGAACACTTACTGAAAAGTCGTCACTGGGGAAGAAAAGGAGGTCTCGAAGGGGGTCATTCTGATAGGACTTTTCAAGTTCTTCAATGACAGTTTCATAATCCAAAGGCTCAAGCAGCCTGGGCTTTTCCTGCTGTAGAAAAAGAAAATACGATATTACCCACTGTCACATATAATTTCCCATCTTCTCAACTTTTGGATGGGCTTCATTTCTTAGTATCACAAGGTTTTGACATTGTACAGCCCTCCCAACGGAGTCGCAGAAACTCCAGGCATTGCAGGGCAAAGCCACGTAACTATCATTTCCAAATCTGAAATGATGTGGGAAGATCCTGAAATACTTGACGTCTCGCTCAGCAATTCAACCTGTTCACACTGAGTCCCCAAAGCTCACAGTCTTAAGCCCTGTTACATCCGCAGAATAGAAGTTTCTGTGAATTTGACCTTTGTCCATGGGAAGAAAGGCCTTCTGCTTAGTCGCCATAGAATTATGATGATGGTCATCATTTTTGCTAAATTAGATACTTCCTTGTGAGGTCTACTTGGGTCTGTTTTAAAACATTGGCTCCCTAATAGCAATCAAGGCATCACAGGCTGTCTTAGTTGTCACTGAAGCATGGATCCTGTGTCAGGATTAATTGCTTGGCTTCGGGCCTCTTTGCCACTATAGGGAGGGGCTGGGTAATTCTCTAACAGAGCTGTACAACATAACTATTATGGATACAGTGTGGTGAAAATGGAGAAGAGTCTGAAAATAGCCAGATAACCACACTGCATGAAGGTCCCGAGGCCACGAGGAAAGGCGCCTCCCTCACAGAAACTGCCCATAGCGCCAAACAAGACAAATGTCGGTGGGAAAAGATGTGATGGTTTCATTACAGGGTTGATGTGTTTAATTCAGACTATACAGGACTCACAAAGTGAGAAGATGGAGCCCAAGAGAAAGAATAAAACATTACAAAACAGAAAACCAAGGACATTATCTAAATTCCCTTGGCCCTTTGATGAAGCATTTATGCAAGTTAAATGAAAAGAAATGGTCGTTTGAATCATTTTGTGGCTCCTGGAAGCTGGAGCAGTCACCATGAAATCTGTATGCTAAAATATTCTCCTAAGTGAAAAAAAAAAATTTTTTTTTCACATCAGTGACATCAACAGGCCATTTCCTATCAACCTTGCCCCTCCCCACTCTGCAAAGTAAACAGACTTAGCTTCCATTTCTAAGGTCTTCTTCCTTCCTTAGAAAATCTCTGCCAGTAAAGCCCCCAAACTTTTTATCGACATTTTAATAATTGCTAATGGGCTCCTCAAAGTAGCAGTCAATGTTTTTTTTGATGACTTTCCAAATATAAAAATAAAACAAAACAAAATGTAACACAGTGGGCCAAATAACAAGGGTTCCCATGTCCTTTCTGTATTTAAACAAAACAAAACAAAAACAAACCTGTTTTACAAATGCTTAAGTAAACTGAGGATGATGTAAGGGGAATATTCTCCCTGGAAAGGCCCTTCAAGTAAGATTGTTAGATTTAGCCAATAAAAATACAGGGTTCCATGCAATATTTGGAGAAAACAAGAAATTTGGTCACCCAACATAATCCAGTGAAAGAGCTGTGAAACATCCGATATTTTGAAATGGAAGATATAGTAGAGACAGTGGCACGATTTGGGTCATTAAAAACAAAAGTCCTTCCAGAATTCCTGTCTTCTGATATGATTATTCTGTTTAGACTTATTTTGAGTTCCAATTCCCTATTTTCCCAGGCAAAAGTTAATTTCAGGAATCACAAAATGATAGCTCAAAAGGCAAATGTAGGTTCCAGATGTATGATTTGGCTCGAACATTTACTTTATTTTTAGTTGGCTTCGAATGTCTTTGAGTAGTGGTATTTCACGCCAGCTCAGCTACAGACCTCAGTAGTTCTCATCTAGTACCTCTTACCCTGCAAAAATCACACGCTTATGTTACCAACTGCCTCTCAGGGCCCTCAAGTCTGAAACGCTTGGTTTATTCTGGAACTTCTTTTCTTCTCTAATATTGTGTTTGTCTATAACATGTAGCAAATAGAGTATATTGTAAAACCACCAGAAAGCTCTGATCTCTGCCATAGATTTGCTTACATATGTCCCTTTCTCTCACTGTGTCTTCAGTTCAAATATAGGATGCCCTTTGGTCTCCTGTACCAACAGCTCCTGACATGGCTACTAGCATTTTCCGTCTTCTCCCCTTCCTCACACCAACATGAATAGGGACGTGAGAGTAGCTTCGTGTCTGTCTGCAATCAATGCGTTTAAAGGCAAATGTCATCAAGATGTTTCAAGAGGTTCTTCTATAATCCTGTTCTCACTATCTTTGAAATTCCAACTCCCATCAGGCACATACAACAGCATTAAAAAACAAGCTGTCGATGAGAAGACTTTCCAAGCAGATGTTTTCCTAGGGCCCCCACACCACCCAAAGCCAATCCCACCTAAATGAGCACCATAGGAAAATCAGAGCTTACAAGTCAGGTTTTTAATAAAACCACAGAAAAGCTAAATCCTAAACTCTCCTTGATATACTCCATAAAAGGCATAGCTTGTAAACATCTGTTCCGGGGTGGGGAGGAGGTGTACATTTTTATTTATTCATTTACGGCTATGACATACCAGCCAATCACTGAATATTTATTAAGCCTTTCCTGCTTAAAATCCTGACCTATCAATAAATAAGCTGTCTGCTCAGTGTGTTAGTCAAAGAGACAGATGTATTCAAGGGTGCTGGGACAAGGATGGGGGGACAAGGATATATATAACGATGTACACAACAATGATGGGATCAGTTAATTTCTCACTATTGCTGCTTACAGAGATGTTGAGTGAATCAGAACTGAGAAGCACTGGTTTAAGCTTTCTGACAGTTGGGTCGTCTCTCTTGACTTTCATGTGCGTCCTTCATTTGGAAATGCCCCAACTGGGATGAGGCATGTGCCAAGATTACCCTGAATTGGATTGGATTTTTATAGTGCTGTTTCCTCTTACTCTTTTTCTCTCAAATGAGTAATGAATTTCATTAGCTATTCTAAAGGCACTCCAGGCCTGGGAAAAGGCACCCACCAGTACCTGTTATTATGCAGCAGGGATGGTGTTACTCCACAGGGGGGATAGGCCCAATTTTTCTTGTATAATACTGAGAGATTTGTTTGATCTACCTCCCCAAATCCACAGGTCCCCTCCAATTCAACTTTCCAGCAGAAGAATGGCTCCTGTCAAAACAACAAAGCCTCAGTCCCTCTCTACTTAGTCCACAACTGCATGGACTGCCAACATGGCAACTAAGTCCTGGAGTGGTCAGCCTGCCATCTTGGTAACAGCCAAGGCTGCCAAAAGCTGTTTAATTAGTCTGGAGTAAGCAGGTTGTCCAGGCCTTGCTAAAGATTCTAATTTCAAGAAATAGTGTTCCCTTACAAAGACCTGAATTATTTTCATAATTATAATTCAAAATCAAGTGGGTGAAGAAATGACATGGAAGAAGTAAGTGTCTGAAGCATGGAACACTGGAAAACTAAATGACTAAATTATCAACCTAGAGCTCTCTCCAGGATAGAAGTACAATTGAACTAACCTAGACTATGTAGCCTTGCTTTTGGAAAAATCCAAAATGAAAGGGAGTGAGTGGTTATATGTTTTCTATGTTGAGATATAACAGAGAGTGTAACATGCGCTCTAGAACCAGAATTCCTGGGGTTCTAGTCTTGGCATTGTCACTTATGGGCTATGGAACTTTGCACATGTTACTTAGATCTGTGCCTTAGTTTTGNATTTTACCCCAGTTGGGAATGAGGGTGACTGTGTATGATGGAGGTGAGGGTTGGGAGGGGGAGGAAGACCTTGAGAAATGGGCAAAGACTAGGTCTTGGAGAAGCCCTTGGACAATGCTAAGGCGTTTGCTCTTCATTTTGAAGGCAATGGGGTGGACACAGAAGGGTTTTATGCAAGCACAGGATAAAAGAATTCAGTGTATGTATTGGAATGTTCACATTGGGAAAATACAAAAGTATGTTATTATGTGCTCTGTTTACACCATTTAAGGATGGCAAAAGTACACAATAATCAGACCATCCCTAACTTAAATGAGCGTAAAGATGCCAAAAAATGAAATAAAAAAAAAATTCAGTGCAAATGTTTTGTTCCACCTACACGCCTCCACACTCTTCTTCAGTTACGGGAAGTTGGAGTAGCTTTTGACATATTTCTGAACAACAGAGCTAGAAGAAAAGGTGCTCCAAGTTTGAAGCTTTTGTGTGCTGTTTGATAGAAAGAGGCTGCTGTTTGTCAAGTTTGCCTTCAGTCTGAAAGAAAATGAGGATGTGGAATTAAAAAAAAGAAGACATGGTTCAACTTTGTGTTTGCAGTTCAAGACCCAGTGGCCTGGTCCAACCACGGAAATGAGATTTCTACAGGAGATAAGTTTTTCTTAAAGTGTGTCAAATGCTAAAGTGGGAGCCATTTAAAATTCTGAAAAACAGACTGGAAGAGTTTCTTTTTTGGCTACCTACTAGCCTGTCTCCTTTCTTCTGTCCTTCTTTGTAGTAGTTGGAACAGAACGTTGTTAACTCCCATATACCTTCCTTTTTGTTAATCCATGGAGTAGGGTGAAAAAAGTTAACCTTTAAAATCTTGAAGCCAGATTTGCCCCAGAGGTAAAGGAGGGAATGGAAGTTTGAGGCTGTTTGAGGAAGGGTGAGCACTGAGGCCCCCCCAACTCCACAGAGGTTCCCATGGACACTGGCTAGTTCACAGAGTTATCTGGGAGCTGTCTTTTCACCTGCTTTAAGATGCTCATGTTTCTGATGTCTGAGAGTATTTTGCTTTTAGGAAAAAACAGGGAAAATTACCATCTGCCCATTGAGATCTTTGTTTACATAGTTTGATGTTTATTGACAATTTAAAAATGCTAAAGATGACCACAGATGGAATGGGTGGGACACGGGGGTGCTCATCATGCATAACTTTACTGTATTTGTCTCCAAAACAGGTTTCCTTTTTATTCATTCGCTTTACCACCAGAGGAGCATTCTATGTGCCAGTGAGACTTGTCCTAAAGAGGGCATATCTCAGATCACAAATCCCTCCATGATGATTGCTTGCCTA